TGGAGGGTGTGAGTAGAGAGATGAGAATTCGGGAGACTAGGTCAAACAATTCGTGGAGGGTGTGAGTAGAGAGGTGAGAGTTCGAGAGACTAGGTCAAACAATTCGTGAAGGGTGTGAGTAGAAACGTACCGAGGAAAAGCTGGAGTGGGTGCAAAGCACGGAATTGGCACCTCCTCCCCTCCCCAATCTTCGTTTCATCCATCATATATATGATATAGGCACTATATCTATATTGTGTTTAAATGAGGATAATTCACTATCACCCCCCCCCCAGGCACCTAAACCAAAATTTGAGTGAATATAGCCTCCACACCAATGGAGGAGTATGGCAGCCCAATCATTTGACCACAAGGCCCTTCATTCTGACTGTTCGTGTGGGTAAGGACTGGCTCATACGAGCCTTCTATGGAAAAAAACGAGGGTGCACTTATTAAAGGATCAGCTGCAGTAATAATGTTTTAAATTTCAAACGCAATTAAAACGCCCTTAAGAGCAAAGTTTTTCTAATAAATCTTTGATATTAATTTTTTCATTCTTTTATTTATATTAATAAGTCATGCTCTAATTTCTCCACCCACTTTTATACCGCATATTTATTTCACCAACTATTTAAAAAAAAAAAAAGGCATTATTTACACCAAGCGCACCTGCGATACGTTCTTGTCTTATTGTCCTGTCTTTCAATTTGGTCTTCCAAATATCTTGTTCTAATATTTCCTTGACAAACTTGAACGCAGTTCTTCATTTATTATCCTTCATGTTTTAATAGAGATCTCCTCGTCTTATGGAGAAAGAGATGACGTAAATAGATTTATACGTAATTAAACGCTTTTTATTAAAATAATGACATTTTTTTTTTTTTTTTTTTTTTCTTCTGGTATGAAGGAATGCAATGCCGCACAGTGGATGCCGATGTGGAACACTTCTTTCATGTTTAAACCCGTGTTCCGACCATCAAAAAAAAAACAAAACAAGTAGTGGTTGCGCTGGACCTCCAGAGGATGCAAGATTAAAAGGAGCAAAAGTGGCTTTACATTGAACAGACAGGAACCAAGGGACTCACCTGTAGATTGAGATGAATGGTGATGTAGAGTCCCATTTAAATCAGCTGGTCGGCCGGACATGGAGAAGAAAGGCGATGGATGCATCTGAGTGGAAGGATGTGGTTAGGCAGGCTACTACACCCCCCCCCCTCCCCCAATCCCTCCTCTTTCTTTTCCCTCATTGGGCTTTAACGCAATATTGTTGATGGAGTAAATTGAAAGATTTTATATTTCACTATTCCATCTTAACACAAGTAGACTGTTAATTTGAAGGCTTTAGTTACTTGAAATAAATAATGCTTGTGTCAGTAGTTATTGGCATTGCATCCCACTTTTGTGAGGACCACGCGTGACGTTTGTGGTCTTAGTTGCCTACTTGTGTGACGATTGTGGCTTTAGTTACGTACTTATGTGACGATTGCGGTCTTAGTTACATACTTGTGTGACGATTGTGGTCTTAGTTACGTATGTTGCGAACCCGGTTCTTCCCAAAGGTTCGATGGCTCCGTTCTGTCTAGGGGTTTAATTTAGTCACTTCACAAAATATATATATTCTTACAATAAAATATCTTTATTACACAACTAAGCTACATCTTGAACTGCCATTACTCACAAGACCACAACACAAATATACTACGCCATATCCCCTTTCACACATTACGTCACAAGATACTAAGAATAATAGATAAAACAACACGCATAATCTCTAAACACCACGCAATAACAATAAACATTCAAGTCCTTTACAATGTACTTGTGTGAAGATTGCGGCCTTAGTTACGTACTTGTGTGACGATTGTATTCTTAGTTACCTACTTGTGTGACGATTGTAGCCTTAGTTACGTACTTGTGTGACGGTTGTGGTCTTAGTTACGCACTTGCGTGGTCTTAGTTACGTACTTGGTGTGTCAATACAGTTAGAGCTCCCAAACGAAGTTGTTCTTTGTTTAAGAACCAAGGTTATTACACCCAACTTTCTTGAAGCGAGCATCATGGGATTTCTGGTTCATCTAAACCTTCTGATGACTTTGCGTGCACGATCGTAGGATGAGAGAGAAGGGCCACACTCCCCCATGGGGGGGGGGGAGACTTTCGGTTCCAAGCATTTACCATTATTACAGATATTAATATATTGTGTTATTTATATTCTGTACGTTTTGTAAATTACGAGAGTGAGAGCGGCAAAGTTGGAAGTACCGTTCCTGACGTCCCAACACTTTGAACACGTGATCATTGCCAATATCGCTATACCATTCTAACGCTGCTTTGCCTACTAAATTATTTTATTCCTTCTTTTCTTCTCAACTTGTGTGCCGAGTTTTAATAATTGATACAGTACGGTACAATGTCGAGATAAGGACTGGTAGACAGGGCAAAGATAATCAACTAGCAGACCTATATGCACGTGCCGTGAGATTCAACACGTGCAGCACTGCTTTAATTTATTTAATAAGCTGTCGAGCTGACCTTCGTCACTTCTTTATAACAATTAAAGTTATCCAAACATTTCCAAAGCTTTTTTGAATTTGTAATTGTAATAATAATAATAATAACATTCGTTCCTCCCTGAACACGAACTAAAACATACGGTGAACGATCTTTGCTGATCTGTTTCTATTACGCTGCTTTAGGGCAACCGTGTGTACAGTGTATTCCTCTATGACTGATCTATTTGTTACACGCTGCTTTAGACACACTGTGTGTACAGTGTATTCCTCTATGACTGATCTATTTGTTACACGCTGCTTTAGACACACTGTGTGTACAGTGTATTCCTCTATGACTGATCTATTAGCGAAATTTAAAAAAAAATGTTTCATAAGCCACCAAGAATTTTGTTAATATTTCCTAACGGGGTTCACAAATATAAACAATGCGAGATTTTTCTCCGATTTACGTTAATCGAATGATTTATATTAGGTGCCATTCATATATAACGAATGCAAAAAAAAAAAAAAAATACCCCCCCCCCCCCCCCTACTTTTGGGCACTCCTTATGCCTGCTGGTAGCACAACTAGAATGAGCTCTGAGCCCTTTCCTCAACACAACAAAATTTTTAAAAATCATTAACCATTATGATGTCAAATTCAAGATTCATTGAAGTCACATCTAGGTATTCCAGTGTTTCCTATGTTGGGAACCATCTTAACTCCCAAATGGAAACAATTTGTACATTTTAGGACTTTAGATTAGTCTTTTGGGCGTCGACGAATAGGGGTGGGGTTTGAGGCCCCACGGAAGGGGTGACGACCTAACCCAGGTCATGCCAAGCCCCTGGATATAACGAATGTATTTGTTTCAAAATGTGTGTTAGATGCAAGCTTAAAACAAGTCGTTTCTTTCTTGACACTAGCTAACCACCTTTAACGTTTTTCATATATTGCTATACAAATATATTTTGCTTATTTTTTTTAAAATTTACCCCCACAATGAATTATGAACTTCAAAAGCCAAATGGCATGAAAATTGAAATTCAGTTTTCTTGAGGCTATCATTAAGACAGCATTTTTTCTTCCCATTTTTTTGGAGAGGGGTGCGCATTATAACAATTTAGGCAATCAGTTGGCAAGACAAAAAGCTTGGTTAGCACTCCAGCAAGCCCGTTAAAATCTGTGCAGTGGGACCCCTCAACCCATTTTTTTTTTTTTTTTTGACAACCCACAAAGCAAAAGTATGACCATTGATGCAAAACTGTGGTGATTTCTTTCAAGACTTTAAACAAATTATTATTACGGATTTGACATAGTTTTTGTGAGAGTGTTGGCTCTGTGAGATTTAGAGGGCTTCAGAATTTCAGCAGAACTATGAAATGTGAACTTATCAAATGAAAAGAAGAAGTAGGTCTGTCCACAACCTACTGCTCAATTTAAAGGTTGCCTGACCATTAGATCATCCAGCATGGCCCCCAAGGTTAAAAATGAGAACATAGGAGACTTGTTTTCTGAACCCTGCTCAGATTCTTTTGTAATTAGTTACATTCATGTCCTGAATGGCTTATCTGTTTATTCTATTAAAAAAAAAAA